AAACCAATTGGATCATAAAGTTTGTGTGCAACTGATAAAATGATTCTTTTTGTTATCACATCATATGTTGCAGTTTTGAACCAATCAAAATTCAATTTCAAAGTATCATTTTCCCGATTCCAATTCAATCCCAAAACCGGAGATACACTACTTTGCGTGTCATTTTCTTTCGAGGAATTCAATACTGTATACTCCCACAACCTCAAATCGAATTTAGCTTCAGACATCAGTAATGTTGAATCTTCAATGAATTTATAAAGTTCCTCTTCAGTATCTACGCTTGTAACGCAGTTATCAACATAAAAACTTTTGAGAAGTTTCTCTACGTTCGAAAAACAATATAAATTATTGGAAATATTTTCCAGTGATTTTCTCAGATGAAATTCTATAACAGCTCCCAATATAAAAGGACTGCAAGTCACACCGAAAACTACTCTCGTATGGCGAAAAGTTATCATTGTACCATTTTCATCGTACCATAAAAACCTCAGGAAGTCTCTATCCTCAACTTTTAAACTAATTTGAAGAAATGCTTTTCGAATATCTGAGATAATTCCTATCTTCGAGAGTCTGAAACGAATCAGTATTGATGGAATCAATTCAATTAAATTCACACCTTTTTCCAAACAATGATTTAAGGAAGGCTGATTTTTTTCTTTCGCGGAAGCATCGAATACTGGCCTCAATTTTGTTGTAGCGCTACTCAATTTGATGACATGCCTATGGGGCAAATAATGTCCATCCTTTTGAAGTTCTTCCTCTGGTACTTCTTCGATCACGCCTTCAGCCAACCATTCTTTGAATACCTGATTATATAACTGATAATATCCATCTTTTTCTAAAATTTTCGACAGATTATCTAGTCTTCTCTTAGCAATATGAAAATTACTCGGTAGCGGAGGATGACCATCAATCCAAGTCAAATTAACCTCATACCTACCTTCCTCATTAATTGTGATAGAATCATGAAATTTCTTCAGGATATCAAGCTCGTGATCTTCTTTAGATCTCCTCTCAGCGGGATCCTCAATACCTAATATATCTAAACTCCACAAATCAGCGACTGAATCATTTTTACAAAATAATGAAGATGCTATCATCGTAGATGACCTAGGAATTTCGATATCCATAACTTTCCCCATTACCATCCACCCTAGAGAAGTCTCCATTGCCACCAAACCACATTTCAATGTATATTTTCGCCCAGTGAATAATTTGCCGGCAACATCAGCACCTATCAAAACTTCGATTGGCCCATCTTTCGTATCACTGACATTGATCCCTAACTGATCAAGTTCAGATTTCCAAGAACCGTCTCGTACAGGACTGATATTGTTGCATATCACATTTTGATCCAGGGCTTCAAAATTACACATGTATTTCTCATTCAAATTTTTCAAATTGATTTTATAACAAATATGATCGACATTTTCCGTATTTGAACCCCCAAATAAGTCATGTTTCATTTTCTCTTTTCTAACTGGTTCGAAGTCCATCTCGATAGCTGCATACTTGCTTATATAAGACCTCTGAGACCCAGTATCAAAAATAACTCGAATACAGCGCGTCTTATTTTTTCCTACTAATTTCACTACCAGAGTTTGCAAAAAAATCTCATGATATGAATTATTGGAGAGATTTTCAACCACGCATTGTTCGTCAGAAATATTAGAACTCGGAATTACTTTATTATTTTCAAGGTTCCTTTGACACATCAGAGTGGCATGTTTTCCTTTACATTTCGAACATACTATTCTGACATAGCATCTTTTTGCTAAATGTCCAAACTTAAGACATGAATGACAATATCCGTTATCTGATAGTACTTTTAATTTTTGCTGATGTGGCCATTTATCTGCTTCAGTACAAATATCACTAGTATGTGATTTCTTACAAAATACACATTTAGGTACATTTTTATGATTTATCAAACCTGCAGCCGTTGGAACAATATTATCTTTGGAGATTTTCTTTGTCTTCTCATTTGTATCAAAACCTGTTACAGCTAATGAAATTCTTTCCTCATTTTCAATCTCTTTTTTCAAAAATCCCATAAGCCTATCAAGACGACTTTTAAGAGTAGAATCCGAATCATAATGATTACTTCTCTGCCAAGCACGTAAAATGTCCTCAGGAAGACATGATTCCACCAAAGGATAGAGCATCGCTGCACATTTGTCTGACGTTACACCTAGAGTTTCTAGTGCTCTCAGTTGTGACTCCATTCGGTCATATAAAGTACTCAGATGAACTTTATGGTTGAGATTATTCAAAATTAGTTTCAAAAGTTCGCGAATATAATATTCAACTAACAAATCATCGCGACCAAAACGAGACTTGAGACTTTCGATGACCTTTGGATAATTATCGGAACTTGGAGGGTAACTCTCCACCAACTGACGAGCTCTTGATTTTTGAACGGTAGCCTGAATAAGATACTGAAATTTGTCTTCTTCATCTAACGAATCATCTTCATGAATTCTACGAAATTGACTCCAAAATAGAACCCAATCTTTCATTTCTCCACCAAATTTCTTCAATTCAATTTTTGGAAGTTTTAATTGACGTTTCTGTTGATTAGAACTCGAGTCAGAATGACTATTATTCAGGCTCCTTTCCACTTTCAACTTAAGTCTAGAATACCTGGCTAGTAAGTCATCGGCTTCAACAACTTCAGCATCTATATCTTCATTCGAAGACTCGGAATCAAGCATGAGATCAAGTAGCTGTCTACTAACTTCGTTGACTGTGTCGATCTTCTGGTCTAGGACTTTAAGATAACCTTGGATGTCCAACATGTCGGGTTCTGCAACGTCCAGTTCTTCAATCACCTTCTCGTAGATCCTCAGAAAAGCACTTCTCTGAATATCCAAAGTTCTCTTCAATTTCTCCATCATTCAAAGGAAAATGTCCTGTCACGGTCGCCAAAATGTAACGGAACCTTCAACTACCCGTTGTAAGGTCACGTAGGAGCAAATTGAATAAATAAAACGAGTGAAATGAACTATATTCTGGTAGAATATAAAATTGCAAAACTATGACAGTTTCTTGACAATTATCAACTCAAATTCCAAAAATCTTGACATCAGCTACTTCGGTTTGTAGAAACTCAATGTACACAGGGTCTTCTTCCGCAACAAGGCGTTAAAAAATCGGTTTGGTTAGTGGTAAAACAGTGTAGTGTATTATTCTCTTATCTGAAATTAACACATCACAGTGACAGCTTTTGTATGATTTGTGACATTTTTTCACTCAATGATAATTAATATTTTTCATAACTTCAAAAACTGCTGATTTACTTATGGTGAACTAAGAATTAACTTAATTAAGAATCTTTGGAAGCTGACTGGTCTATTCTAATTATTCAACAAATCAGCTTATGTGTCCTAGTTTAGTTGAGTTTATAAATCCACTATTACGTTTGGATGAATAATAATTATTGTTTCATTTTTTATTTGTTACATAGGCATCGATACCTATGTGTGTACATATACTGCAATATCATGTACACAGTATTGACAGTTTTTGATAATACAGGAGGGTGTCTCTGAAAGGTCTGTACACATTCTTGGCACATAGTCCTGAGGTCACAATTAGTAGATTTGAAGCAACTTACCTCAGTCCGAAATTGTTCCGCTTTCGAGATAAAGGGTGGTAAATTTGAAAAATTTCAATCGGTCAGTACACTCCGAGAAAGTATTTTGAAAAATCCATTTTTGCACTGCTCATTCACTGACCAAATTACATCCACTCTGATAACAGCAAACATTTTTTATTCAAATAACTTAAATACTCCAGTGCGGCATTGAACACTTTAAACCGAAATATACCGAAATCGGCTTACTTTTGCGAATTTTCACAAGTGTACCTTCTTTGCTTGAAAATATTCTGAAAATGATTTTCTCAGTAGAAATAGGTGAAAACTACACTCATAAAAAGTTATGGCAATTCTAAACCATAAGAAGTGCATTAGTAAGCGCTCTCCAATGGACAAATGGTGAAATGGGTTTCGCATTCCAAAAAGCCCCCGTCTACTAATTTCTGACATGATACGTTTAAGAATGTCCATACCTTTTGAGAGATTCGATTTTTATTTTTCAATCTTACCATCCGGTATCTCGAAAATGAAGCAATTTTGGACTGAGGTAAGTTGCCCTGAATCAGCTTATTTTGACCTCAGGACTTTGTGCTGAAATTTTGTACAGACCTTTCAGGTACACCCTGTATAGGTAAACTACCTTTATTATACATACAAAAAGCTCAAAGTCATTTCCACACAATGCTCATAAAATGAACAACAATGGTAGATTTCGGGAGAAAAACAACTACTTTCCTGGCTAATGCCACGCAGAACATCGAATTACATCCTAATGATACGAGTGATTCTTTCCTGAATGCCTATTGATTTCGATTTAGCCAGGCCACGCTAGACACCTACAGACCGGTTTCGAGCTCTTTGACTCTCATCAGTGCAGGGCAGTCTCCAGCCAGCAGTCCTAAGACCGCCGACTAAGCGTAGCCTGGCCAAACAAAAATCAAGTCTTCCCTCAGAGGCGTCCTCTATAGACAATATGAGAGCAACGCCATCTGAGTAGAAATGAAGGAAAGGAACACTCCGAAACCAAAATTCCCATACGCCGACTGGCGTAATATATTAGTATTGATCTAGGTTAAAAAAGTGTTATTATTCATCAGAGAAAATCCTTCAATAATGGAGATTTCTCAGGTCACTGGTGGAAAAAACCCACATAGTGGATTTTTCTGATGAATTTTCGGCAAAAATTACTGTTAATTTCAAAAAAGCTACTGAAATTATACATTTTGGCGCAAATCATATGATTCGTCCTTACTACACATATACTGAAATAATACTCTTTTTTTTTATTTGTAGAAACGAAATGAGAAATTCTCAAAAAAATGTATCATGTAGACTATTTACTGACGCCACTGTGTGAGTTTTTTCATTAACTTCACAGCTCTGAATTTGAAATGTCACTCACCTCGCCGCATGGCAGTCTTTTGATAAAATCAATCCCAGTCATGGGTGTGCCGGTTGGAGGCAATAAAATTGCACTGTCCATACACAGCCATTCCACGTTCAGGGATCCTTTTGACATATCACAGTACCTACAAAAAGACGGGATACGAATTAATTTCCTGTTATGTGACGAATCTTATACCTATGAATAAATATCGATTTTACAAAGGATAATGATTATTAGTGTAGGAAAATAAAGATAAAAACTATTTTTTTAGAACTGATCAACATTTATACAAATTAAGAACTTCTACTCGTCACAAAGGAAAACCTAGTAGGTGAGGTATATTATTTTCTGTTCACTGTCTATGGCGCTGGTTTACTGAAAAATGTAGAGCTTTCCTGACAATTTGGACAATTTCAGGTTGAAGTTATTATGATTCCTTTCATTGGATCACTTATGTAACATCGATTTGTTTCTATTCATCACTCATAATTTTTTATTTCTCATTTGGCAAACTACTTATTGTATGTAGGTGTGATTTTCAGTGAGATGGCAAAGTTATCAACAATATAAAGGTAAATAAGCAGTTCCTACCTTTCTATTCTTATCTTGCATTAGATCTTTCAATGAAGTGCAAACAGTTATGTTTGGTTACAACACTGATAGTTTCCAGTTCCTACTCAGTTTCAAATAGCATCAATTGATCCAGCTATTTCATCATTGCATAAACAATGTTTTTTTCGGTATTCTGCTTTCTTCAAACTGTATGCGGTAGTAAGAACAATGTTCATACTTAAAATGTTTCAACATGAGAAACTTTTGTTAGGATATAAAATGAATGACTCATCTCGAAATATAGGTCACTGGCTTACGGAAAAGATCGTCATCGGGTCGATTCTGTTCGGATCTTGTTATAACATTGCTAAGACAACAATATTGTTATGATCATAATGTATGTATAACAATATTACTATGGAATTCTGTATTCTGTTTGGACAGTAATTGCAGGATTCGTTATGAGTTCAAGTGATAGCAATATTGTTAAAAAAATTAAGGAACTATCCATCAGGCAACTCAAATGGTTTGCTTTCTCTACAAATTGAAGCTTTGAGGAAAGCTTTTCCAGTAAGTTGCACTTTACCGCCCGCGGGCTCTTTATGGCCCACGGGCCGTAAAGTGCACTTTACCGCCTGCTGTTCTCAGTTTTCTTATATCCACATATCAATTCATGAAAAAGCGTGTAATGGCCCTCGGCTAGCGCCATCGGGCCATTATTCACGCCACAGGCCATAAACGCCTATTTTACGCCCTTGATACATAAAAAACTATTACCTAGATAGCAAGGAAGCTGACAAGATATCATCAAAATTGACAGATCATATTGCCGAAAATCAATGATTAGAATTCCACTTTTTCGTATCTTGCTATGATAGCAAATTTCTCTACAACCATATTGCTATTTGCAAACAGAATCGACCTGATATGGGCCATTTTTGCATATCATACATCGCCTACTAGGTTTTCATTTAGAACACTTTTTCAACATGCAAGTCTTTTCCTTAAAAAATATAGAAAATTCAACGGTGCAGCACTCACTCATGTTCAAACATATCTAAAAATATTTCTTCGCTCTTGTAGAAATTCCTCAACAACGCCAGGCTCTGCGTCTTTGCTGTTTCTATCGTCGATTTGTGCGACTCCAACAGAATGTTCTTTCCGTCGCACACAGCCAGCTGGACGAACAACTTCAGAGCGAGTTCCAAAGTGACTAGTCTCACTCTGCAGGACGGCTGGCACGAGAAAATTATGATTTGAAGGATCTTGTCGGCCAGGTACGTGTTGTACGTGTACCGGACATCTTTGGAAAGCGCGGACGATTTCGATATGAATGACTTTTTTGGCTTCAGCACTTGCTCTGTTGTATCTGAGGTCACACCTAAAATTTATTGCAGTATTTCAAAGAGTTATCTTCATGTAAAAACTTCACGAACGATAAGATTTCCAAAAAACTCTCAAACACACAACATGTTTCGCTAACACAGTAGCTTCATCAGGTGATATACTGGTACAATGAACTAAACTAACCTTGCCTTTTTCGTTATGTGTTGGATATCATTTGAATATTTCTATACATAAATCAATGCTGTCTTTCGCAAACAAATAGCTTTCCTTTCAATTCTAGGTTTGATATTAATAAGTATTAATAATAAAATTGGCAAGAACTGAAACTTGTTTAACACTACATGTGATACCTATTTACTTGTGAGCTACAAGTAATATTCCCCCCAACTTAAAGTTTTTTGTTCGTTTAATAATTTGTTAATCAATCATGATTTTTCCCCGATACTTTCTGAATATAATTTATTGAGTAGAATGTTATCATTGACAAATCCCAGAACAATAACACACATTTATGATTTAGAAAAATATGATATTCGGCTCATAGGCGAGTAAATTCCAGTACACCACAGCCTTCTCAACCTCATGAGCCTAGCTGAGCCATCATGATGAATAATAAATAGCTAGGTAGTGAATGCAACACAGTGAATATGATATATTTGTAACTAGTAACAAACTATTAATCAAGTTATACCTAAAAGTGTTTGTAGAGTTCGTCCGAATCCAGGTTTGACTTGATATTAGGATAACTAATTTCTTATTTTTCCAACGTGTCTTATAAAGAAATGCCTAATCATTTTTGCGTGATTAATTGTGGAGATGTCTACAATACCTCGTAAAAACTGGGCCCCATTTCAACGTTATGCAGTATGTGTTATTCATTTCGTTGAAATAAATATTTTTAGATATGATACATTCACCCTGCCAGAAGGATCAATTTAAAAAAATCCACAGACTGTAAAATTTGCATTTCCCTACAATTTTACTAATTCACGTAACTTTGAAATACTTTGAAAGACGCACGGCATATACTGACTCAAATTTGGGAAGACCTGGATCAAAATAACATAAGGTCTCTTGTTTTAAGTATAGGCCGTCTTTGCCAGGAAGTTATTCTTGCCTGAGGCGGAAATACTCGCTACTGACCCTTTTGTTCAAGACTCCGTATTCTGTTTTGTTTTTTCATTATGGTTAAATTTGGATATTAATTTTCCATTATTGAGATAATGCAGTAAATTCAAATGAGAAATGTTGAAGAAATATAAAGCTAAAGTGTAATTTCAATTCTAACTTGATATGGTAACTATTACACTTTACAGGATATTACGAATTTCATGAAAAAAACACGATATAATTGCTGCACCCAGTACATATGAAAAGAGGTTTTTATGCGGAAACAGTTTACCTACCAAAGTTCAGAAGGAGATAGCCTGTCGTTCAAAACAAAAATCGTCCAAATCGGAAAAGTAGTTTTGATGGAAACTGATCTCAAACTGTTGGCTACTTTTTGGCGGTGCGTTGATTCCTGGGAGAAGTGTATTATTTTCTAGTGAGCTATTTATATACTAGGTATATGTCCACCCAACACTGAAAGACACTAAACGCCAAGTTGATGTTTGCGTTAATGTTAACTCGGCGGTTAGTGTCTTTCACAGTCGTGTGGACATATACCTAGTATATAAGTAGCACACACTAGAATAGAATATTCAGTTTTAATCTTCTCCTGGAGATGCTAACATAGTTAGCGAAACACGTGTCGAGGCGTGTGAAAAATCGGTTTGGTTACTGGTAAAACAGTTTAGTGTATCATAGAGCCAAACGTTCCAGTCTTCGATATATTCATAACAGACCTCACCAAGTTATAATAACTACATTCCCATCTTCCCCCACCTACTAACCTGAGTTATTGGCCATCGCATACAACAAACTGAGAGCAAACAACGCAGCATAATCATTCTCCGTGCAATCTATCGCGTCATAAACGGTCTCCAAAAACGGATGATCCACCAAAGTAGCAGCCCCTTCTACCGGGCCGGTCGCCATTCTCTCCTTCTCTTCGTCAGTTATATTGAGGTTAGTTTCGCCATCGCTCACCTCCTCCCCACAACAAACGTCACTCGGAACCTCCTCCTCCAACGCTCTCCTCTCTTTTTCCCTCTCGTAGTGCTCGAGCAGCTTGTCCACGCCCTTTTCGAAAACGGACCGGTCCGTTTTCAAAATGATCCACGCCAAACTTTGCACCAGTGGCGAATGGGACAGTATCAGAAAGACTTGCGAGAGCAGGAACAGCGCCACCACGCAGGAGACTTTGCCGTTAGTGACGTCGTGGCTTTTCGGGCTGCTGTTCTGCGACCCGCGTGACGTCACAGAGAGTCTGCCGACGGCGTCACAGGCAACATCTGTTGCCGACGGCTTTTTCCTGTTCAGAGATAGGGAGTATATGTACAAGGGGATCAGGAGTTTGTGGAGCAAGTGATCGGTCAACACGTGATTCAGATCGGTTATGTTGAGGCAGAGGATGTCGTTCAGATAGTGAAGGTGGTCCAAGTGTTCTGCCACGAGGTCGGAAAGTCGATTTTGAGACTGATGACTGAAAAAAAAATAGGAGGAAATAGTAAATGGAGATAAAGCGACACTTTCTTATAATAATAATAATAATAATAAGTGATATCTTTGAATTCGGTAAAAGATGTCATCATCACAATTAGGAAAGGCACAAGAACTTTTTCAATTTGATATTTTGAATAGTTTTCTCAGAATTGATTCGCGACGAAACCTAAACCTGACTTCACAAGAATTCTCTACCATCTCCAACAAGCCAGGTATTATTCCATCCAGTTGAACAATTGCTGAAGTTCAACCAATCCCAAAGATAGGAAAAAGAATGTACCTAGCAGCTGATCCCTATCCCACTGTTATCAGTTATGAGTTTTCACCAGTGATGGAAAAAGCCATAAACATTGAGCTTTTCAAACATCTGGAAAGCTCAAGAATCATAACTGATGGACAATAGGTCTCTCAATGACCAAATGGGATTATCGCCAGTGATATGAACTGCTGGTCTACTGTAAATAAATCACTGATATTTACGAAAAATGTTATTAGGAGGCAAGATAGATTGACTACTGGCGAGTCAATCACTGACGATAATCCCATTTGGTCACTGAGTGTCTCTTCGGTAGCTCTCTCGCTCCTGCGAATTTTATAATTATACCTCCCTAATTAGAGAATGTTCAAGGGTGAATCAATCAGAAGTGAGACACACGGTATAGTGACTACCCAACCGAACTCAGCCCATAACAAACATCATTCTGAACTTCCTTCTTTTCTTTTCGAAAACGGACCGGTCCGTCTTGAAATGATCCAAGCGAAACTTTGCAGCAGCGGCGAATGGCACAGTAACAGGAAGACTTGCGAGAGCAGGAACAGCACCACCACGCAGGAGACTTTGCCGTTAGTGACGTCGTGACTTTTCGGGCTGCTGTTTTGCGACACGCGTGACGTCACAGGGAGTCTGCCGACGGCGTCACAGGCGACACAGGGAGTATATATACAAGGGGATCAGGAGTTTGTGGAGCAAGTGATCGGTCAACACGTGATTCAGATCGGTTATGTTGAGGCAGAGGATGTCGTTCAGATAGTAAAGGTGGTCCAAGTGTTCTGCCACGAGGTCGGAAAGCCGATTTTGAGACTGATGACTGAAAAAAAGGAAGAAAATAGTACATGGAGATAAAAGTGACCTCTGTTAAAGATATCATCGCCATCATCACGATTAGGAAAGGTACACAAATTTTTTTATTTGTTATTCTCAATAGTTTTTTTCAGAATTGATTCCCAATGATATGTTCTCACTCAAACTCGAAGGCAGACCGCTTGTAGTACTGAAGTCACGAAAATTCTCTGCAAATTATTTACCATCTCGAACAAACCGGGTGTTTTTCCATCCTGCTGAAAAATAGCTCAAGTCCAACCAATCCCTAAAGAAGAAAAGGAGAATCTACCCAGCAACTGATGGCCAATCCCACTGTTATCAGTTATCTCTAAAGTGATGGAGACAGCCATCAACATTGAGCTCATCGAACCTCCTCCTCCAAAGACCTCCTCTCCTTCTCTCTCTCAACAGTTATTATTTCAAAATTTGAATATTTTCTTTCCTTGTGAACGTGAACATTTTAGAATCCGCAGGAAATTAGGTATTTTATGGCTGAAGGATTCAGGTCGATGGCAATTTGAGTATTGTATTATTTTTGTTCAGATTTACATATGATCAATTAAGTACTCTATTATTATTTGAGTTCAGATAATTCCAGTCACGACCCTGCGGCCTCCGACGTCACGCAGAATCGTGCTGGATAAAATCCAGTGACTACTCCTCACAGCCTGTGAGGTGAATAATCACTGGGACCAAGTACCGTGTGCCCTGAGTAGACGCTATGATCCTAGTATGACGGCCTTCTGCATTCCACCAGCCAGGATGTGTGCCTCATTATGACACGCTGGGATTTTCTGGATCTCCGAGAGCAGCGTGTGTCGTATGCCTCCTAGGGAGCCGATAATCAGGATGACCAATTCCACAGAATGGTCTGGATAGAGCCGGCGGAGTTCGAAGAGAAGATCTCGATATTTAGTCCGTTTCTCCTCCTCCTTCAAAACGATGTTCGGTTCGGCTGGCGCCGAAAACTCGATCACGAACATCGCTTTGGTTTGATGGTCGAGAAGGACTACATCAGGCTTGTTAGCATGAATTTGCCTGAGGGTGGGGAATGAGAAGTTCCAATAAATTCGGCACCTCTCATTCTCCACAACGGACTCAATATCCCCCGGAGCATAGGGCAGCACTGGGGTCTCGTCTATTCCGTACGAGTGCCTCAAATGGTAGTAGAGCACTCGTAATGCCGCATTGTGTCTATGGATATAGACCGAGACTGCATACACCGTGCAAGATGACAGCAGGTGCATAATTGTCTCGGGCGCCCTGCGGCAGGCCCTGCAATTTGTGTCAGGGACCTCCATACCCATGACACGGCTACGGTAGACGAGAGTGTTGAAAACCCCATCCTGGCATGCCATGATGAACCCCTCTGTTTCCGATTTGAGCCCGCCTGACTTGAGAAAAGCAAAAGTCAGTTCTTTGGATAAGCCCCGGTCTTCAATGGTCTTGAAGTAGACCGAATGCATGGGCTTATCCATGTGAAGCTGCAGGAGCTTTCTCACTTCTGCAGCTTTGATGCGGGCCTTCCTCCGAGCAGGCTCTAGCTCAGTAACTGAGTCCTGAGCCTCTCGCTCGGAGTCGAAAATCAGAGACAATTCATCGGCTGCTCGACGTGCTGCCCTAAAAAGAAAAGCTCCTACTCCTGCTTCTTCATGGGTTTTAACTATTTGCAGGAGGGGATCCGAACTCCTGATGATTTTTCAGGCGCCATCCAGAACCATTCTGTTATGGAGATACTCCAAGCTCAAGAGTCCACGGCCACCCTGGTCTCTAGGTATGTATAACCGTGGAACGGACGAATTCGGATGCAGACTCCTATGTAGATGCATCATCTTGCGAGTACCTACGTCAAGTTGTCGCAGCTCGACTTGAGTCCACTTTATTACTCCAAATGAGTAAAGTAGGATCGGAACAGCAAGCATGTTAGTAGCAGCGACTTTGTTCTTTCCCGACAGTTCTGATGACCAGATCTGTCGGAGCCGCTGCCGATACTTGCTGCGGAGAGCGTCTTTCACACGTTGTGCCTCCTGAATGTGAGTTTCCTCTACACCCAGGTAGGTGTACGTCTCTCCGGCATCCAGGTGGTGTAGGATGCTTCCGTCCACGAGCTGCGCGTCCTTGTCGTAGTTCTCGCATCGTCCTCTCTTGAGATGAACCAGTGCACATTTGTCCATTCCGAATTCCATTCCAATTGCCTGAGTGTACTCCTGCACCACCCTGAGGGATTGGTCCATATCCCTCTCACCAGAGGCATAAAGTTTGAGGTCATCCACATAGAATAAGTGGGTGACCTTATGCCTCCGGTAACTGGGTGGGCCGCAGTTGTATCCCCTGGTTTTCCTGAGCTCAACGGATAGTGGCAGAAGTGAGATGCAGAATAGGAGAGGGCTAAGGGAGTCATTATTATTATTATTATTATTATTATTATTATTTGGTGTTTTATTCTCAACCGTTATGGGTTCACTAATGCCACGATTCGACTAACACCTGCCACTTGAGCAATGTTGAAAGTCGTCATAAATCGCTAGTGAGCGATTGCTATTCGTAATTGAGCAACATTTTCCATCATACACTATAAGTTTCATACAATTTTGAAATATCTTCTTAGCAATGTGAGAAAAGCTAGATTTCTGACAAATTGCATCATCTCAGAAAAAAACCGCTCAAACAATATGAAAAACGATAGAATTTCGAAACGACGCGAATCGAGTACAAATATCGCACTACCCTGAAAATACTCGATTTATAGACAAAATCGCTGAGACAGCAACAATGTAAGTGGATTGTGATCGTGGCATTGTCTTCAAAAGGGGGAAAACAGTGGTACTGCTGAATAGTTGATCATCAATCGCGTATATCTGTGAAACATTGTTCTAGGCGACTGGTTGGAGGAAATATTGTTCGAATGCATTGAAAATCCTATAGGGTGAACAATAATAGTTATGAAACTAAACAGTATTAGAAGTGCCTATATATACTCACTCTGCATCATTCCTCACACAGGAATCCAACTCCTGTATATGTTTACCGATGAACCAAACAATATTAGAAAAATAGGGCGCCGCAGTTCGGTCTCTGATGAACGCCAGCATACTGGAGTCGTCCACCCTGTAGACGTTCAGTGTCAACGTTCTCACTGCTATTCGAACCATGGATTCGGGATGGTTGAAGAACTTGATAGCTTCAGTGTATAGAGGAAAATCGTTGGTATGCTGCAACTCCATACGAATAATGTGAAACTTCATAATGTACAGGGTGAATAAATTGCTTCCAGAAAAATTTAAGTGGCCTATAGACCTCGAGAAATATTCAGGAAATACTTGTTTTTATTCCACCAAGTAGAGACCTGGTAAGGACCAACAGGGCGTTGAAGTTCATCAGGGTTTGATTCTACACGGATAATTGATGATGATGATTTCCTTCATAAACTGTGGCAACAATACGGTGATTGAATGTTTATTATTCACTAGTTAAATATATAACAAGGGAGCAAAGGTATCGATTTCCTCCCGTATGTGAAGTTGGTGCTTCAGGTGATTCAGTGATCCATCCAAATTGATATTTGCTACAAAGGTAAAGTTAAGATGCTTTATAAACAACACAAGTATAGTATACAATGGACAATTGACGGTATTTGAACGACTATTTCACTCATCACATAAACTGATCAATCAAAAGCCAGAGACAACGTGTGCTCATCGCAAAAACATGAGCTGTCTTTCAATTCTGATCGGTCTGACAACGTTCATGTTTGCAACTATGTTATCATGGATAGCAACTCAAAGTCTGGATGTAACCATGGATAGAGAAGCAAAATCTGTCAGTTTGGCTCAAAATAGTTATGGCTGTACTGGTCAATATAAATCATTCATTTATAATAAATGGTTTTTATGCATCGTGGACGTGAAATGGTCTAGCAAAATACCACTCTGTTATGAATATCTTCTCATAATTCTGTCTTACATTGTTTACTCAATCGTGTTGCCGTCCTGACGGACTCGTGGTGTTGCTCGGCAACACAATTTCGTGAACAATGAAGTAACAGAACTATCTCGAATATCCAGAATACCATGATATTACTTGTGACTATTTCACACAAGAGTCTCGAGATCATACCCGTGTGTTCACCGAACACGCCCGATCGTTACCTAAGCGGCGGGGAGACCGAGACGTAAGCAGGCAGCTATGATACAATGATACAATGCTGTCTCTGTTTTTGCAGTACGGGGTGGGCCACCAACAGTTTTCTTGATCACATTTCAACTTTTTTTTTTTCGAATAAATAAGAAACATTTGATAGGTATCAAGTGATCTACTGCGACCTATCAGATAATGAAAGCGATGATTTGATTTGCGATAATTCGCTATGTCACGACGAGTCCTACAAGTAAATAGCGAACCACTCATCGAAAATCATGAAACAATAGGTATTATATTATGCTTATGTTTTGTTGGCGAAGACGCTCGTTTTATTCAAATTATTTTCGATAATGTTCATCTGCTTCACTAGAAATTATTATTAGTAGTTAGTAGTATAGTAGTAGCAGCTTTGTTATTCAAAATGGAACACCTTATATTTTATTACATTTTTCGATTCTTCCAATTGAGCTATGATTTCGTTGATCAAGCACCTATACGTAGAATGTGAAAAATCGAGATTTTTTTCGTATCTAAACTATACAATACCTATATTGATTTGTCAAAATGGCTTACATAATATTATGTCTCTCCTAACATTCTATTTAATATCTACTGATGCCATTTAATTGAAACAAATACAGGGTGGATCAGATATCAGAATTATATAAAAAAGTACTAGTATGCCTACTAAAAAAATATATACAGGGTGATCCACGGTGGATGGCCTATTAGAAGTACCTGGAGAACGAAGAGACAGAACATTGTGAAAATTGGGATCCTTTGATAATTGAACATTCTCTATTCGCCTAAAATATTTTCATCGATACAGTGTTGCCACTTCTATCAGAAACAACTAGCAACTTTGTTATTTCGAATGGAACACCCTGTATTTTATTGCATTTTTAGATTCTTCCTGAAGAGCTAGTTTCATCAATGCATCACACTTGGGGTCTAGCAGGAATGATTACAGAGATATAGAGGGCGGTGTTCAAAATCGAAATTTTTCAATTTTAGGATTTTTTTGTGTCGAAACTATTAATTATCGATCAAAACGGCACACATGTCCCTATCTTAACTTTTGATTCACTATCTACTGGAATTTAATTGGAAAATATACAGGGTGGTCCAAGATTCAGAATTTTGATCACCCTGTATATGTTCCAACTAAATGTCAGTAGATAGTGAATCAAAAGTTAAGAAAGCGACTTGTAAGCCGTTTTGATCGATAATGAATAGTTTCGACACAAAAAATTCCTGAAATTGAAAAATCTCGATTTTGAACACCCTATATCTCTGTAATAATTCCTGCTAGACCCTAAGTGTGATACATTGATGAAATCAGCTCTTCAAGAAGAACCTAGAAACGAAAAAAAATACAGGGTGTTCCATATTTGAAATAACAAAGTTGCTAGTTGTTTCTGATAGAAGTGGCAACACTGTATCGATGAATATATTCTAGACGGATAGAGACTGTTCAATTATCAAAGCATCTCAATTTTCAGAATGTGTTGTCTTTTCGTTCTCCAGATACTTCTAATAGGCCATCCACCGTGGATTACCCTGTATATTTGAACTAAACAAAACAAATATATCACATAAAAAAAACACACTCTATATTATATTCAACATAAAATGAAATTCAATCCCACTGGATGTATTTAAAAATATAAACAGTGTGCATGTCACTTCTAATGGAATCAACCCGTATATCTAACGTAACTGTTCAATTTTCAGGAGCGATAGATATATATTTACCAACTATGACCAAAGTGAGGTAATCTTCAGTGAAATACACTGCTCGGGTCATGGACCCACCAACATTTCCGGAAAATGATATTAGGAGGCAAGATAGGTTGAAAATCACTTCGGATTCGAAATCAGGACGTCCTGTACCTCGAAAAAGAAACAAGTTTAGGACACATGTTTATATGACCATGACCTTTATTCATCATATTATATCACAAGGAATCACCCCTTGAATTATTTTGGTGTTATTTAGATACACCCTATTGATCATTCTTCATCCCAATATATTATATAGTTATTCAACATTTTTCCCATAGCGAAGTTCAGCAAATACCGATGGCGAGAGCACTATGTTTATTGATTTGATGTCTACCTATATATGTAAAACAAGAAGGCACAACTACTTGTGTTCCGTTTCGAAGTACATTAAATTGACAAATTTGACTCCAAAATAATTCTGGTACGCGCCAATATTCATAACGTAGACTGCTGCCTGTTTACGTCTCCCCACCGCTTAGGTAACGATCGGGCGTGTTCGGTGAACACACGGGTATGATCTCGAGACTCTAGTCTATTTCACTGATCACATAATCTGACCAATCAAAAGCCAGAGGCAACGTGTGCTTATCGCCGAAACATTAGCTGTCTTTCAATTCTGAATGGTCTATCAGCGTTGATGTTTTGAACGATGTAACCATGGATAGCGAAGCAGTCTGTCAGTTTGGCATTAAATAATAATTCGGTCTATCATTGTTAAGAGGGGAGTGTCAATCAAGTCGTCATGCAGACCTGTACTCTTTTCTGCTTTTTGGGCTCATGAATGATTCGATTTAGAAACTAATTAAATCATCGTAAAGAAGAAGGTTGGGGCTAGGGATTGATATCATATGTAGTCGAAACTCATTCGTTTATAGAAGATGCAGATTTCTGAAAAACGTAAACATTGACATTTTTTTGTGTCAAATTGAAATATTTTTGATCTCAGTACAATTGTGGGAAATTCAGCAAGGTGTCATTGAAATATCAGCTCCTGAAATGTTTTCATTCGGACACAAAGCTTCAAAAACGATTTTTATGTCAACAAAATATTCATCCTTCTCAGCTGATCTCAGTAAACTCAATTTCTTGGAAAAATGTGATGCAGGAAACTTGAATATGGTAGTTCATACACTACCTTATAGATGGCAATGTTCGTAACGGCAGACAGGGTCACTGTACGGCTGACAGTAGCAGAGAAAAATGGTGCATTGTGTTGCCAGCAGATGGCGTTTTGGGTGAGTGATGAATTCAAACCAGCTTGCACCGTTGCCGATGTTACACACACCGCTCGCACAGATTATTAAATTTACGCGAAGTGGTTATATAGAGTATTATCTGAGTACTTCAAGGGGTGGTTCTCCAGGTGATCCCAAGACGAGAAAAGCATATAAATATTGATATATCGAAGACTGGAACCTTTGGCACGATAATACACTACACTGTTTTACCACTAACCAAACCGATTTTTTAAACGCCTCGACACGTGTTTCGCTAACTATGTTAGCATCTTCAGGAGAAGGTTAAAACTGTTTTATACTATATTAGGTAGAAAGAGGGGTCTTGTTCCAGATTCAATTTTTATCTCTTAATTTTTTTATGGTGCCATGGTCTACCTAGGACTTTCTTAAGGTTTGATTTATATGTATTCATTTCAATGTCACTGTCACTGTATAACCTTAATATTTCTTATGTATCACCCACTTCATTATTCTGGAAAGCAATGAATCACCCTGTATATATAATAGAAATTGTATCTCACTCACCTCATTGTAAAAGAAGTGGATAGTATGAGCATTCAATTTTAAACTGAGCGTTTTCAGAAAGGATATATAATATGCCATGACTTCTTCATCGGAAAAATCAAATTTATGAACGATTATGGAATTTACATGGTTATTGGACAGCAAGTAATCTGTAAAAATTTCTCATTGAAACACTATGGTTACGATTTGAGGAAAACTGATCATAGTACTCACACAAGGAAGTTTCATTTCTTATATTCTCAAACAGAATGTTTAGTGTTTGCAGAAGTTGAACGCAAACATAGCTAGATCCTCCACTTCTTTGTCTCATTATACGTAAAAAAAAAGATAACATATTTTTCTCCAGGAAGAAACTGGAAAGACAGATCAATTTTGACCACAATATATGTACACTAAATCGGATTCTTATAAACTCTAAGAAATACAGAGATGGTCATATTATAACAAAAAATATAGGTAGTTGAATTAAAGGCAAAAACGGAAATGGGTGATAGATCTGATCATTTCAATCAATAGTTTATATGAACATGAGTCCAATCTCGATCAGAAGCGGAGCTACAGGGGGGGTCTAAGTTTAATAATGTCTTTCTAATAATTAATATATCTCGCTCTCTTTTGAAGATATCAAATAGAAATTTAGTGTGGTTGATACTTCCTAGAAGATCATCATTTCAAGATTTTGAAAATCTACCGGGTGATATGTTTTTGGAGATAGATGCTTTCTTATCACGCACAATTTTTTTCTTAGTACGAATCTGACATCTTGCAGTTGAGAAATTTAATATATCGTTCAATTTCGAGGCTTTTTGCTTTTGAATTTTTTCGAGAAACCGTTTTCAGTATAAATAAGTATATCCGTTCTAAAAACATGACAATTTTGTCTATACTGTTTCGTTTAAATTTTATTAATGGATGAAATTCGCAGAAAATACAATGAATTGTACTGAAATTACAAACTGGATCAGTAGAAGAGACACAGAGGGCAGAGCGTAAAGGTTTTGTTAGTTTATAAAGTTGGTTGAATTTTCTCCAAGAATAAAATGTATGCGAAATGTATTTAGATAAATTTAACATGTTCGTTTAACGGTTCGATTCTCGGAAAAAATTGAAGAGCAATAAAAGTCTCTGAATTGAACAATTCACATAATCCGGTAACTAGATGACGTCAGAGGTGTACTACTAAAAATCTTGGGTGGGATAAAGAAGCCAGTACCCCCAAAAATGTATGACCCTGCAGTTTTTGAAAATCTTGAAAATGCTTGAAATGATGATCTTTTAGGAAGTATTGACCACACCGAATTTCAAAATGATATCTTGAAAAGTAAGCGAGATATTTCGATTAATAGAAAAAAATAATTGAACTTTGACCCCCTGTAGCTCCGCTACTGAACGAGATCAGACTAATGTTTATGTAAACTTTTTTGATTGAAATGATGAGATCTATCTCCCATTTCAGTTTGTGCCTTGAAACCTGAATCACCCTGTATATTTTAGATTTATAATAAACTTGTACGGGTGTGAAACTAGCCACATCCACAAATATACACTGAGAAAAATGTACTTATTTTAATATCAAAAAAAATTCCACAAATTCAGTTGGATGAACATTAAAATTGATTGCCTCAATCAGGATACGCCTTCAGTGAGTGTGGAAATATTTTGTGAGGTCGTATGAGGGTAAATTTTGGAATATATCGATAACTTCCTCAAATCAAGATGATGAGGTTTATAAGTAGCAGAAATCGATAGCCCTAGTCGACATACACCTTTAGTGCCGTAGGAGAGATGCTACAAGGGGTGAATATCAAAAAGAAATCCAGAACTTCTTTGAATGACGATGTTGAGGATTCTAATTGGCAGAAATCGATTGCACTGGTTGAAATACATCTTGCAGTGTTGCCAGCTGCTGAACATAAAATTTCGCGTTACGAAAAAAACCGCTAGCGAGCCAAGCGAGCAAAGAGCCCACTGCAGGCGAAATTTTTGAAAATTTAGCGATTCTTTTCCGTGATTTAGCGACATTTTTGATCACCTTTCCTCATTTCCAGGCAGGTTTTAACATCAGATAAAAAATCGTGAAAAACCTTTTTCATTCAGAATAAAAAAAAAAAAAAAAAACATTGAAAAATGTGTGTAGAAGTCCATAGTGCTATTAGTGCTCAAAGTGGAATGGTGGTAATTGAAGGGAGAAAAATTGTCGAAGACATCTCCACGACATTTATTATATGGAGATGATTTGGGCAATTTCTTTTTCTTCATAAAAAAAATAATATAAATTTTCAACTAGGGAAAAAGCCAAATACTCAAAGTGGAATGGATTGGCCACAAAGAGAGAAACTCAAAGTCATTACCACAACTAGTTCATAAAATGAACGACAATGGTAGATAACGAGAGAAAAACAACTACTTTCCTGGCTATATGCCACGCATAACATTGCATTACATCCTCCCGAAACCTATGCGATAGTTCGTATAAACGAATAAAATCGCAAGCAAGGGCGTCGCCAGAGAGGGGCAGGGTGGGGCAGCTGCCCCCCCCCCCTACGTTTAACGCTCACCAGTCACCCTGCTATCATTGAAACGACTATTTCATTCATCACATAATCTGACCAATCACAAGCCAGAGAAAACGTGTGCTTATCGCGAAAACTAGATGTTTTCAACGATGTAACCATGGGTATAGCGAAGCGAAGTCTGTCAATTTGGCAAAAAATAATGACTGTACTTGTCAGAATGAATCATTCATTCAAAATAAATGCTTCTTTGCTTCGTGAACGTGAAATAGTCTCCACTCTGTTCTGAATATATTCTCATAATTCTTAATTTCCTTGTCAAATCTATTGTGTTGCCGTACAGCCCTACCTTTCGTCCTGACTCGTGGTGTTGCTCAGCAACACAATTTCGTGAACAATGAGGCGACAGAATTATCTCGAATATTAAGAATATCGTGATATTACTTATGATAACGCTCACTTTGAGCAAAGAACTTCCAAAAGTATATTTTTCTCCTGAAGTTGAGAAGGCTCTGAAGATCCTTGTTGCCTTTACCTTGTAAGATTTGTACAGTTGAAAGGTCATTTAGTAGCCTTAGGAGAATCAAAACCTGGTTGAGGAGCACCATGTATGATGCTCGACTCAATGGCCTCGCAATGATGAGTATACACAGGCAACATATTTTCAAAAATTTGAACGATTTCGTCAAAAAGTGACCAACGAATTCCCAAAGAACCCTAGAAGATTATTTTTCAACTGATTTACTGTATAGATTTTTTTCTGTTTTTTGATTTTCTCATTAAACTCTTTCTATTTGCTTTTTTCTCTTCAGTTTTTTTTTATGGTGCCCCCCCCCTATTTTTTCTGCTGGCGACGCCCTTGATCGCAAGTGTTTCCTTCCTAAACGCTGAGCTGCGCTTAAGTGGTTCAGGAACGCTGACTACCTGCAGGCCGTTCGGCGTTCGCGTTTTCATTTCGCAGACGTCGAACGCCTCGTATGATATAAATGCTGAGATGCGTTTACGTTGGGTCAGGTTCGCACCAGATAGCGGTCAAGAAGCTATCTGGGACAGCCCTGTACTGATGAGAGCCAAGAGCTCGAAACCGGTCTGCAGGTAGTCAGCGTTCCTGAACCACTTAAGCGCAGCTCAGCGTTTAGGAAGGAAACACTTGCGATTTTATTCGTTTATACGAACTATCGCATAGGTTTCGGGAGGATGTAATGCAATGTTCTGCGTGGCATATAGCCAGGAAAGTAGTTGTTTTTCTCTCGTTATCTACCATTGTCGTTAATTTTATGAACTAGTTGTGGTAATGACTTTGAGTTTCTCTCTTTGTGAATATAAATTTTCCTATAACATTTCATTCGGTACTATAGCTATAGGTACAGGGTGATTCATCATAAATGTCCCCCTCTCTAGCTCAATTATTTTTGAACCGATTGCAAAACTTTGAATATCATCTAAAATAATTTTCGATAGAGTTTTTTTCCGCTACATCAGAAAATACAAGGTGCTCGGAACAAACGATCTACAGAGTCCTACTTGATTTTTTCAAATGGAACACCCTATTTTTCATTGTATTTTTAGATTCTCCCTGAAGAGCTGATTGCATCAATGCATCACACTTGGGGTCTAGCGAAAATGATTACAGAGATATAGGGTGTTCAAAATCGAGATATTTCAACTTTCTGTGACGAAACTATTCATTATCGGTCAAAACGGCTTTCATGTCCGTATCTTAACTTTTGATTCACTATCAACTGACATTTAATAATCGGAACAGATACAGGGTGATCAGCATTCTGAATCTTGAACCACACTGTATATGTTCCAATTAAATGTCGTAGATTGTAAATCGAAAGTTGAGGTAGAGACAATAAAGCCGTTTTGACCAATAATGAATAGTTTCGACCCAAAAAAATTTTAAAGTTAAAAAATCTTGATTTTGAACACCCTATATCTCTCTAATCATTCCCGCTAGACCCCAATTGTGATATATTGATGAAATCAGCTCTTCAGGGAGAATCTAAAAATACAATAAAATACATAATGTTCCATTTGAAAAAATCAAGTAGGACTCTGTAGATCGTTTGTTCCGAGCACCCTGATGGAACGGGAAAAAAATTTGTGAAAAATCATTTTAGATGATCTTTCAAATTTTTAAATCGGTTCAAAAATAAGGGAGCTAGAGGGGGGGGACATTTATGGTGAATCACCCTGTACATTAGTGAATCACAAAATATATCCCTCGGACGTATTTGAAGTATTTCTTTGGACAAATCAGTCGTTGATTAACCTTTTAAAACATGACAACTCATATTTCAAGCTGTTCAACATCATTCAGATAATAATATGCGACTTCTTTGTTATGCAGGGTGTTTCATTACTAATTGGAAATATTTCAACCATAGAATCCCGAACTCAAAATATGAAGATTTAACCCAAATCACCTAGATAAAATATGTCTCCTGTCTGAGTTACAGGGTGTTTTATTAAAAAAAAATTGAAATGTTTTTTGCCCAGTTCTTCAAAACTATTAGACGTATCACTTTCATATTTGGAGGGAAGTGTATGTATTATACACCCAACTGAATTATGTGAAATAAACTTTTCTAGCTACTACCAGAGGCGTACGACAGGGGCAATTAACTGGTTGATCCCTCCCTGGGAGATTCATTTGAGAAAAATTGTAGATACGTCGAAATACCTTAGCAATAAAGCTGAAAAAAAAGCCGTATCTACATTCCAGAATGGTTTCGTGGGGAATTTTTGACATTCAACAAATCACAATGATAACATAATGTCCATATTTGACAGTTACCTAAATTCAAACCCATATTTTGATAAATAAGGTTGGCAGGACGAATACTCTGAAATATCAATTATCTCAGAATGCCATCGGTGTCAGTTACCGCATCTGCGCTTAGCACGGCAATACAGAGGGTTGTGATAACTTTTCTTACCATATTTTCTACGCCACTGATGAAATTTCGATTATTTCTCGAATTGATTGTTCAATTATGTTGAAAAACTGCATCATCTTCAACTGAGCTAAAATGAACAGTTATCGAGATATTTGACCCAAAATAGAAGTTTGCATAGTAATTTTTCATCTTCTTCAGTAGTAGAAGATTACAAAAATTTTTGTTTTCTCTTTTTTATGCGTGGAATAACTTTTCAACATGTCACATGTTGAGTTTCACACTGGTCCATCGGATATTATCTTTCGACGAGGACGAAATATTCACGGAAATATTGACGCTCTGCCACTAACTTAGATCAGTTTGAATTGCGGCACGTTTGGATATTCGCAGAGGGGACATTATTCCCTTTCATTTGCTCTTTGTTTCAACTCGTTATCACATGACGGAAGTATGTCCGGATCAATAGGAGCAAATAAATCGCTGTGCCGTGGCACATGTGGTATCGGATGGCATAATTCTCATCTCGTTATCAAATCGCGAATTCAAGTGCAAATTTCCGCACAGGAAAGTGCAATTTTTCAATAATTCTGCTCAGGATAGTGATTGGCGCAGTTGCCGTTCGATAAACTACAATGGTACTTGAGGTGTATCTCGACCAGGGCAATATATTTCTACTAGTATGAAACCTTAACATCGTCATTTGAATAAGTTATGAATTCTCACTCCTTGCAGCATCCCTCCTAAGGCCTGGCAAAATATTTCAGTAAGTACCTAAGTTGTATTTCGACCAGGGCAATCGATTTCTGCAAGTTATAAACCTTAACATTGGCATTTGAATAAGTTATGATTTTTTTTATATCTTCTCCTTGTAGCATCCGTCCTATGGCCTGGCAAAGTATTTCAGTGAGTACTTAAGTTGCATTTCAACCAGGGCGATCGGTTTCTGCAAGTTATAAACCTTAACATTGGCATTTGAATAAGTTATGATTTTTTTTATTTCCTCTCCTTTTAGCATCCTTCCTACGGCCAGGCATAATATTTCAGTGAGTACTCAAGGTGTACTTTGACCAGGGCAATCGATGTATGCTAGTTAGAAACCTTAACATTGGCATTTGGATAAGCTATGAATTTTTTCCTTTTTTTTACCCCTTGCAGCATCCCTCCTAAGGCCTGGCAAAATATTTCAGTAAGTACTCAAGGTGTATTTTGACCAGGGCAATCGATTTCTGTCAGTTAAAAACCTTTACATCGTCATTTAAAGAAGTTTTTTTTGATTATCACCACTTGTAGCATGGCCTGGCAAAATATTTCGGTAATGACTGAAGGTGTATCTCGACTAGGGCTATCGATTTCTACTACTTAGAAACTTTAACATCTTGATTTAAGGAAGTTATCGGGTTTTTTCCTAAATTCACCCTCTTTAGCACCCTTCCTATGGCCTGACAAAATATGTTCACGCAAAATGTTCATGCAACTGGATTTGTGCAAATATTTTTGAAATACATTCTTCTCAGTGTATATTCGTGGATGTGGCTAGTTTCACACCTGTTGAACTTCTTAATGAACTTGCAATTTTCTGAGAGCACCAAGTTGAAACTCTTAAATATTGGATTGAGATGATAAAACATAGATAAAACATTTCAGAGATATTTTACATAGTGTAAGTTGTTTCACTCATTGATCAGATTTAACAACCCTATATACTCAAAGGAAAAAATAACTGAAATAAATATGAATACTGAATAGTATATCACTATATATATACATGTTTTATAGTGTGACTATAGTTTGTTAGAAGTTTTTGATGTTCCCATTCCAGTAAAATTCAGAGAATTTGGAACATCATATGAGTCAACATAGACAATTGATGTGAAATATCACCAGGTTACATAGCACTTCCGGTTAAACCGGATGTGAAACCAACGTCCTTATTTTGGAACTCGTTTTGGAAGGAACATCCTGTGTATTGTTTTACAATTTTGGAATCTAAATATTATTTTGAAAAAAACGTATAATGTGTGAAATTATTAGTTCACATTAGCATTTTTGAAAATAATGATGATCTTCAATAGAACAGTTCAGCTAGCATTGAGAGAGAAAACAAATTTCTTTCCCATCTGTCATTGTCTTCAGTATTCCAACATGAAATTATGAAAATTTTATGTTGGCAACACTGTAAATGAGAAGAAATGGAGAAGCAATGAACTGAATGTGGAGAAGAAGGCCATTCTAACCTTTTTTATATTGAGGTTAATATGATCTTCTTCTCCATTTTTTCCCATTTCCAATGCTACCAACATAAAATTTGACATTTGGGAGTTTTTTAATTCCCCAAGTCATTTTTTTCAAATCAAAGGTGTCCTGTGAGGTGTCCTGTATATTATCAAATTGAAACACATCGTTGAATTCTGCTTCAACTAATATAGTGGATCCTAATGTTCCTATATCTAACTGTAAAGGATTTCTTGTTATATAAATACTAGTGCAAACTCAAAATGTTAAACAAAAATGGTAATATCTCCAAAATGGTTGGAAATTACCTAGGAAATTACTATAGTAACATATTAGATGATGATTTCCAGGATACATAGGTAGTTTCTAAAAATGTAATAAAATATAGGGTGTTTCATTAAGAAAAGGACTTCTGTGTGCACTTCCGGTTTAACCAGAAGGTCCAGAAGTGCTATGTCCCTGGCAATATTTCACATTGATTGTTTATGTTGGCTTATGGGATGTTATATACAAATTTTCATGATTTAATTCTCTAGTACAAGTTTCAGCTCATTTTCTCAAGTTCTACTGAATATTATGGTACTTATTATGAATTTACACTAGGTAACATCATAAATAAAACAACTCATGCAATTAATATAGTTAAAAGTTGAACAATGATCATTATTTTCATCACTTGGGTACCTGATATGAATTTGGGCTATCTGAATTCATTTTGGAAGTAAAATTCCAGACAAAATAGGAAAGCTGTTCTATGAAGATAAATTCTTGCAAATTGAAGTGAATAAATGACATGATTGATGTAGAGGATATTCAATTACTTACTCAAATACAGAAGAATCATTTTGATCGCCCCATATGAGTATCTCAGCAATTGATCTCAATGATTCCACTAACAACCCTCTGTTGTGTTCTGAAACATTCTGATTCCTGGATAAAACATTGTAAAGGTATTTCAGGTGATCCAATGAGTGCAAATTCTTTGGACGTCCCCAACCACCACCAAACCAGCTTCTACTTCTGAACATGGTTTGTATGTATTGTTATTGTTTCCTCTTTCATTAATCTGTTCATACATAAATTCTATCTTGCTACTGTATGTGAAATAAAGTGAAATATGCTAAACTTTTGGATTTTAATTAGCGTTTCTGTTACTACCACCGTTGAAAATCACAGAAAATAATATCAATAATCAACATTTATTATTAATTTTAAAAAAAATCCAAAATACTACTTTTGGCCTTTGGCTTTGTCATTATTTTGATTTTGAAGGTTACATTGCCAAATGAAGACAGTATGACATTGACATATGAATCATAATAGGAGGACAGTGTCGTAAAAATGGATTAACTGCGGTGGAAGAGAATTCTTCCTACTCGTCATTCTCGAATCATCTCGATCCATCCCAAAGGTACTCTAGTCATTCTGTTCATCTGTTCTGTGTAGTAGTTTATTAATTGTTTATGTATATATATATATAATCATAACCAAAAATATCACATTTTCAGTTATTAAATTTGAATTGATAATTTATTGTGTAGTCAAAGAGGTTCTTTGGTGTAGTGTTGTAGGAATCCTAGTTTCATTTATTGTCACACATAAGCTAAAGGATGAATCTGCCAAAGTATAATGGACGTCTCCATAACCATCCCTTGTACTAGTATATGACTAGATCTTTATAGGTCGCGTGCACGAAGACCGACCCTGGAGGCATAATATTGAAACACAACCTCATTCTTCTGTGAATTATTGAAACACAACCTTACTTTTTTATTTGGTTACAGAGGAATCAAAAGGTTGAAATAGTTTTTCACAATATTTTGGCATACGAATCGTGTTTCTTGCGTTATTCATTGATTCAAGCATGCCTTCGCATTGTGCTGTTGTGCAATGCACAAAAAATGCAGCAAGAGACTAGGGAATATGATTTTTCAGGTAAATAGTAATCTCACATAGTTAGCATTATGAAATGTTGTCATCCCTTATTGAAATTCCTTCTGCCTTCTGCCACTTCTGCAATACAAGCTAATGCTGCTAATAGATTGAAAATGTCTACAACACACACGATCGACAGCATGTCAGACCAGTCCTACCGATTGATTGCATGAATCCAATCTTCTTGCATTATTCTAGAAATATCAGGTATATTTCTATTAGCTGATCCTATTGCAGAAGGAATTCCGATGAGAAATCAGAGAAATAACCAAATTTCAAAAATGAAAACTATGTGAGTGACTATAGTAGGTACTTACTTTTGAATCATAATGTACCATCCGGATTTCTTCATCTTCTGCTGCAGTTTTTGTGCATTTTACAACAGCACAATGTGATGGCATTAGCGAATTGATGAATAGCGGAAAAATACGATTCATATGCCAAAATAATTGTGGAAAACTATTTCAATCACTTGTAAACAAATATGTTTTGCCTCCAGGGTCGGTCATCTGACAGTTCTTGCACGCGACCTATTATTACCAGTATTGTGAAATGAAAGTGAGAATTAAGAACTGGACTGGCGTGGCTACATGGCGGTGGGTTGCGAACGACGATAATTGTGGAATTTGTCGAATGCCATTTGATGGATGTTGTCCAGATTGCAAGCTTCCTGGAGACGACTGTCCATTAGTTTGGGGACAGTGCTCTCATTGTTTTCACATGCATTGTATTGTAAAGTGGTTGCAATCTCAACCAGTGAATCAACAGTGCCCCATGTGTAGGCAAGAATGGAAGTTCAATAATAAGTAAATGTTGAATTATAAGACAACTCTTTTATTTTCCTGGAAGAACCATTATACTTCTGCCCATCTCTTGCATTTTGATTGAGTAAATGAATGAGCATTGTCAAGACTTCTGAAATTTGACCAGTAATCCAGTTGTGCAAAGAGTAAATTGGTACATAAGAATTTCAAACCAAGTTAAGTAGGTACTTAACCAATATTGATACCTCAGACTTCAGCTATTTAAAAGTTTTATTAACTCTGATACAACTCTAACATTAATACTATTTCCTAACAACATGTATTTTTTTCTATCACTTAGATTTGGTGAGAATTTGAATGATTCTGGAAAACACATGAGTCTGCATACTTCTCTTGGAGTAAAAAATCGGAGGTTCAGAGATTTCAACAATTCAATTCTCAAATTTTCATCAGTATTTTGTAACATTGCCTCAGAAAGAATCTTTGGAACTTCTTCCTCACTTCTATCAGTGAGCACACTCCCAGTGCCTTCTAAAAATCTTCCATATGCCTTTGTAAAACAGCATGATCTTCTTGAACTGGTATGGCATATGTCCAAGACATTTACATATTTTTTCAGTATGGAGTCTGATAAGAAGAATTTTTTATCAGCTATATTTTCCAATATCTCTGTCAAACAGAAACACTCATTATTTTGAAGTTGAATAGGAAAATGTTCCATCTAAAATGAAGACAAAAGAGATAAAAATGATTTATTGGTACTTTTAATATCTTGCCACTTGAAAAGTAATCTTACCAGTGATCCTGTTTTGAATGAAAATCTATTTGGTAGTTTCTTAGCCAAACAGTAATATCTATGTCTGGAATTGGGTATTGCAATTTGATCAGGACTAACTATGAATTCCTGAAAACTGAAACCACCCTTTTCTAAGGCTTGCATCAAAATATTTCTTGTATCTGACTTTTCAAATCCTTTAACATTCTCTATTAGTATATTTTCTATGTTCATATGTGGTAAGATTTCTAGGATGTGCAAGAATGATGTTGTTCTTGGATCTCTTATATCCTTTTGCAGACCATTTCTTGTGAATGGCTGACAAGGTGGGGACATTAATATTGTATCAACATCTAGATTGTTGATGAATTCTGCAGACAGTCCTTCAATATTCATATTGAATAATGGAGTATGTGGAAAGTTCAGTTTGTATATTTCATTAGCCACATTGTTAATCTCTATAGAAGCAACTACATTCCCTTGAATTTGACTTTCTGAAAAGAAAACAGATAATTGGTATATGATGCTCCCTATTATGGAGGTAGGTATATAAGACATTTGATAAGAGTCTGAAATATCTTGATAGTAATGCCTGAGGTAGTGATTGCCCAAGGTATAGGAGCATACCCAGGAAATTGTATCCTCAAATGAGGCTTATTTATTGAACTAGGTATGCAAATAAAATTGTACTTAGTTCAGTTTATATTTTTTTTTACTTTCCAGTCACTGTATATGGAAGACTGGAACCTTTGGCAGGAAAATCACACTACATTGTTTTGAGTTTACCACTAACCAAACTGATTTTTTTACCGCCTTTCACTAACTATGTTAATATCTTCAGCAGTTTATACTGAGGAGTTAAAAATCGGTTTGTTTAGCAATACCAATGTAGTGTGCACTTACTGTAATTTTAAGAATTTAAGAAAAATGTCTGAATAATATTAAATCCAAAAGAAAACCACTATCTTGACCGTGTTTTGACCACTCTTGACCTCACCCTTTAATGCCATATGCATTCCCCCAATGCCACTATATAATTCTAAGACTTTCATGTTTTATTTCATATGATTGGAAACTCTTCACTACTGCAAAACTGGTCAACTGGTATCTATGATACTATGATACTACTCTTTTTCAGTCTTCGTGGATAACATGTCAGATAAGAAACTCTTTCATATTTACTCATTTCTCAATTCCATTCCAGACTTGAAATTTGGAATTAAAAATTTGAAAACGTTTTGTAAAGTGTAAATGTAAATATTAAATGTTCTTGACACTGCTGTCACTAGACAAGCAGTGACAATCAAACATAACCACAAACGATTTTGAAGCAAATCATATGTTTTACGAGACAAGGACAAGAATATGTTTTTTGCTTTGATAAAGCGTTTCAATCAACGGATAAAGGATCCTCGCATCTTCCATCCTCCACAAGTCCTGGGAAGAGTACATTCATATATCTTTCTCTGTCTTTGATTTTTGTATGAGAGGGCATAGCGTCTCCTCGAGTGGGTAAAAGGGTACGATAAAGATAAATTGATTAGAAAATTATTTCTTCTCGAAATATTGAATGATAAAGCTGAAGGACCTCAAAATCAGCAGTGTCAAGTACATTTAGGAACTCTAGTATTTGCTATAGTGCCGCCGTGCCTACGAGCACGACAAATCGGTGCTAGAGATTAGACTAGCGCCTAGGGACAGGAGGTAACAAATAATCATCGCGACGGGGTAACGTTATAGCGCGGCAAGTGCATGTGGGTACAACAAGTGGGGAAAGGTCAACTTTTCTCACTAGTGTGAAAGTGAAACACACGAGTGAGAAAAGTACTTTTTCTCACATGTTGCACACTATACTTTTTCTACAACTGCACTTATTCAAAGAATCCAAAGTAATGTAAATATTGGTATTCATTTTATAATGTGGCACTATATATGCCACATTGAATATTGTGACCAAAGAGTAGACGCCTTTCCTAGTTCCTCAAAGTATTTAAAATAAAGTACACTTCCCGAAAAATATGTATTTGTGCCGATTCATACTTCTTTCTTGAAATTTTCGTAAAAAAATCCAACTTTCGCAGCTTTTTCCATTTTCTCTGTCTCTGGCGGTGTATTTATCAAAATCGTCACATCTCGGTATATACATCATATTATTTATTATGACTGGTTGGAATAATATTTGATGGAAAATGCGATTTCTATCGAAAGCACTAATGAGAATAACTACCCTAAAGAATTCAAAAAACTTATATTCTGACAATTATTGTGGCAACTATTCAAAGCTGAACAGCAGTCAAGTTTTGGTCGATATTTGTTAATTCTCCATGGAAATGTATGTGGTGTTGGCAAAGTGCCGTGAGAAAAAATATTTCTCACAATTATGTTCCTAAAACACGTGCGCAAAGTGTCTTTTCCGCACGGAAAAACTTATTCAAACTCCGCTCCTTCGCCTAACTGTATTTGCGTGCGGAAAAGTAACACTTTGCACACTTATTAGGAAAATAACTATAAAAACGTAGTAAATAGTAAAAAAGGAAAGTTGGTGCTCAAATTATGAAATATTTCAATAAAGAGTGAAATAAAGCAAGCTCAAATAGAGACACATATTGGATTTGGCTGGACAGATTTATTAACCCAGATGGACCTACGGTCCTTTCAAAAGGACCCACGTAGTTTCCTGCAAATTCATGGTTCTGGGTAGTCGCAGTGAGATGGAGCTACTTTATTATGATAATTCAATATAAACAAAGGAGTGTCAGTGGATATATCGTCGATTCATTTCGTACTCGACTTTTTATTCGTGATCTGCTGAAGCACTATTTGGGTATTTAGAAATGAGTCAATGGAAGTAAGTATAACTTCTTGGTTTTCGCATGAAATATTCATTTCGCTATAAAATATGTTCGAATAATGTGTCATTAGAAGATACAAATATGGAAAACTAGGACATTTATATTCACATGCACATAAAGTTGTTCTATAATTAGTGGTCCTTTGTAAAGGACCGTAGGACTTCAGCTTACTGTTCATTAGTAGATTCCAATGTAAATTATATTTTTTTTAGCTACCAATTCAGACCATTGACTCTGAATGAGTTGATGGATGAGCTGGAGGCTCCTGATGTGATACCGGTGCCTCCAAGGAATGTGATTATATTTCCTCCTGAAGATGAAATAGTCACTGATGAAGACTCTGGGGAAGAAGATAATGTTCTGATTCACAATCTTCCTGGATCACAATTGCGAGCCGAAGCTGAATATGAGTTATCATCTCATGAAGAGAGCGACGGATTCGAATCAGAAGATGATCTTCCTCTGTCTACCTTCAGATCTCAGAACAAATCCCGAATAAAAAAGAAAGTACTTTATAAATTTGAGAAATCTGATATCCGAGATGACTTTTTACCTATATGGCCGCAGGAAGTTTCAAACAATGCCGGTGATAGCACTTTGGATCCTGTCGAATTGTTTTCTAGTTTCTTCGATGATGATGTGATAAACTTGTTAGTGACCGAAACAAATAATTATGCAAATGCTAAAAATTTGAAGGGAGATGTGAATAGGGAGGAAATGCAAACCTTCATTGGTGTATTACTACTCAGTGGTTATGTTTGTCTTCCACGTCGAAAGCTGTATTGGCAGAACAGTGCAGATACGAATAATATACTGGTGTCTAAAGCTATATCAAGAGATAGATTCAGTTTCATCATGAGCAATATCCATTGCAGAAATAACAATGATCTGGATAAGAATGATAAGTTCTCAAAAGTTAGGCCGATATTTGATTTATTGAATATGAATTTCCGGAAGTTCGCTCCTGTCGAACAATTTCATAGCATTGATGAATCCATGGTGCCTTATTTCGGGCGCCATGGATGCAAACAATTCATAAGAGGCAAGCCGATACGTTGGGGCTATAAGTTTTGGATGGGGACAACAAGGCTAGGATATATACTATGGTTTGATCCTTATCAGGGAAAGAGTTCAACTATATCTGCCGAATATAAAGACTTGGGATTAGGTGCTAGCATTGTACTGCAGTATTCAGATGTTTTATCAGGGCTTCAGGATCAAGTATTACCATACCATTTATTCTTCGATAATTTTTTTACAAGTTTGGCTCTCATAAATGAACTCACATTGAGAAAAATGAAAGCCACTGGTACAATCCGGGATAATAGGATGAATAAATGCCCCCTCATCGATAAGAAAAATATGAAGAAAAAAGATAGAGGGTACATTGACTACATGTCATCTCAAGAAGATAATATAATCCTTTGCAAATGGAATGATAATAATATTGTTGCTGTAGCATCGAACGCCTCTCCGGTACATCCTATACGAACAGTTCAGCGATTTTCACATAAAGAAAAAAAGAAAATTGGCGTGAACCAGCCCAATACGATCAAGACTTATAATGAGAATATGGGCGGTGTCGATCGAGCAGATCAGAACATGAGCCTTTATAGGATTAGTATCAGGGGCAAGAAGTGGTACTTCCCTCTGATAGCTCAGTGTATCGACATGGCAATTCAGAATTCATGGCAGTTACATAGACTTCATGGTGGAAAATTGGATCAATTAGCATTCCGAAGGTCTGTGACAACGAGTTTATTGGAAACTTATAAAAAAACTAGCAGTAATTCTTCAAGATTTTCAGCAAATTTGCATGAACATTCTAGGTACGACAGACGAGATCATTTGGTTAGTTTCAGTGATACCCAAAGAAAATGCCGTTTATGCAAAAAGAAGGTTCAATCATTTTGTACGAAATGTGATGTTGCATTACATGTCAAAGAGTGTTTTTATTCTTATCATACAAAAAATTAGATGTTTCCACAAATAGATCTGAAATGTAGTTGATAGACCTACGGTCCTTTTAAAAGTACCTGTCATTTCTGATAGAAAATAAAATTTTTCATGAAATTTTCTTTTTTAGTTATCCTCATCTGAGTACCCTGAATGAAGATAGTCAATAAAAAAAATCAAATTTGAAAAAAAAATGTCTCAGGACTATCTGGGTTAAGGGGAACGGTATTAAAAAGCATATTGTAGAATGTGTATTCATAAATGAACAGATTATAACAGATAGGTATCAAATTGTAATAGTATATTACGTAATATGTATTGTAAGAAGCATATTACACACGAATGGAAAAGTTACGCAGGCAACCGCGGAGGGGCGAGTGCGTAATTGCTTTGCTTTACAACACGCATTACGTACTATACTTTATCTACTGCCATACATCAAAAAAGTTTGGACAAACAGTCTGAATTATAATTCTTGACAGTTATGTCATCCGCTGTTGACGGCGATTGCGCGATCATGACATATACCTATACTGGCGGAATAAATGAAAACTGTACGATGTGTTTACTGTGCGTAAAGAGCTACTTACTGAGGCTGTATCTCGTGTGTTCTTGCCTACTATAGTGGCAATAGGTGAATGAATTTAACAAAAAGTTCTCTGAAATTGGAGTAACGGGAATTCCTAGGAGACCGAGTAGGAGACCTTATTGATTTTGTGGAGTTTAAATTGCTTATAGCATGTTGATTTTGAGGAAAGTAAATGGAGAATATTTTGAATACACTCAAAGCAAATGCCGCACCAGGGCATGACAATATATTACAGTTATTCGCGATAGAAAATAAGCGCACGCCACCTCACGGAGTTCTTGAAAGCCGTCAAAGCGGCATGTTTACTTTGTTTTCATTGGTTCACATTTGTTTTTTGTTTGTGCTTATTGGTCATATCATCAAAACAAACCGCTCAGAAGTGTTCAAAATGCTGCAGATTAACAAATGGCCGAATGCTGGAGGGAACCTTTTCCCAGTCCCACAAATGTATAGGTTCTCAAGATCAACAATAAGGTCACTTCAATAAATAAATAACCTGCAATTTTAAATAAATAACCTGCAATTTTGCTAAAATTATTGAAATATTGATAAAAAACTTGAGTTGTAAATTTCTCATCGAAATATATGGTTATCATGATCTCTATCAATATGACTTCATACTATAGGTGCTAGGTTACCATAAATTTTTACCGCACGTTTTCTCTATAATGTGATCCCGAGACCGGCTCTAATCCAAGCGGATTGGGGACCATTGCATTTTCTTAAACGATACATGTTATTAATGTGTATAATATGTTTATTCTTATTAATAAATAAATAAAATTCTTTTTCAAAAAATAATGATAGAATACCTAATGATGTATATGTATATGATATTATAGATGTTCCAGTTCAAGTGGAATGGGAATCTTATTTCTAATAGCAAACTGTTTGAGTGCATCATAGCGTCTC